GCGAAATTCTAAATTTGGCCCAGTTTTTAACGATAATTCTGGTTACTACTGATCAAGCGCTCACCATGTTCCGGGCACTCTGCTAAGTGTCCTCCAGGGATGATCTCTTTAACCCTCAAACAGTGCTGAGGGAGAGAGGCTATAACTGTTTCCATTTCGTGACAAGGATTCCGTGGAGAGGTTCAATGACGCAACCAATGTCATATGGTTGGCGGTGGGAAGGCCTGGGTCTTCTAACTTCTAGTTCAGTGTTCAGTCCCTTACTCTGCCCTGACTCTCAAGTACAAGTCCCCTAAGTTATATTTTAATTAATTATCTGAAGATAGCCAGCACCTATATCTCTTACTTATCAAATGAGTTTCTAATGGCTCCATGAAATGAAATTCATAGCCTTATTCATACTCACATGTAAGTCTTTATGAGACTATTTTTACCCCCAAGATTTTTCACTACGTGCCTGTTCCTGTCCGGCTCCAGAATCTACCGCCCAGTGTGCTGGCAGACCAAGGCAAGATTCCTTCTCCCTCTTCCCTCGACTCCAACAACACTTCTGTAGAATGACGTGAGCCAAGTAGGATGTTAGGCTTTGAAAGGAACACAAAGATGAATACATGCTTCCCATTTTCCAGGTACTGGCAGAAGATATGAGGAGGCTACACATGCCTATGGAGCAGGGCAACCCATTATCAGTATGCTGTCAGGACAGAAGGCACAACTAAATCCTCTAGGAATTCAGAGGCTCGACTCACTTCCAGAGGCTCCAGAAAGGAGACAGCCCATGAGGTTCCCCTTGCAGAAGAAGAATTTCAACAAGTACATGTGGGGCCTTTTCTGGCCTGGGCCATGAATTCTTCCCATTTTCTGAGTACCTGGCTTGTGAAATACACACAGTAGGACCTCAGATACATTTTTTTTAGTTGGGTAAGAGCGACACAGAGCTAGGCTAGAAATCATGGACTTGGTTCTGATGCCACTACTGGATGTAAATTATATAAGTCCTATACCTGCTCTGGACCTCAGTATAAAATAGGAGTAGGGATGGGAGTGGGTATACCCTTTTGGTTAGAATGGCATTAAGTTAATATATTCAAAACTATTTGTAAGCCAAAAAGAAATATAAACACAAGAGACTCTCTTCACTATTCTTATTGATGTTATAAAAACTAAAGAGAACCAACATCTATTTACTTCTCATTTATCCAACAACCTTTTTTGACTAACTACACTGGGTCAGGCACTGGGGAAGAATACAAAGATGAATCATGTCCATCCTTCATCCTTGGAATCTGAAAGATCCTGGAGACAGTAGGTATAGTACAAATTATGGTATGAGTTTAATGTCCTAGGACAAAAGCTGGTCTGCAGTTTGGTATGACCTCTGCAGGGAGATAGCAAAGCTAAAGATGAAAACTTCAAAATCAGGAATTCAACAGGTATGCTCCAGCTTAAACTGTGTTTTAGACACTTTCATTTCCATCCTCTTCATAAAAAGCTGGGTGGTATTATGCCCATTTTATAGATGAGGAAGCTGAGACTCAGGGAGGTGAGGTCACTTCCCAAGGTTTATAAAACTATAAAGCGTAAATGTAAACCCAGGTCATTTAACTGCTTGGAACTTTTCCCAGTTCCCCTTGTTGCTTTCTAATCAGTCAACTTCTTATAGAATTCATTCCATGCTAAACTTGAATGACCTTCTTTCTTGGATTGCTTTTCCAAGGAGAAAGATAGATTTAAGATAAGAAAGGTTTGACAGTAACCCCTTCTATTGTCATTTCCTCGTACACTTACTGTGATAAATTTCTTCCCTCCTACTACACTTTCCTGGCTTCTTCCTCAACTCCAATCCCAATGAAATTGCCGAGGAGTAAAGAATCCCAACAAATAAAGAGCCTGCAGAGAGAGATTCCTGCCTTCTCAGCGTCTGGCCTATAAACTGTGGGGGGGAAAAAACCAGAACCAAAAACAAAAGAAAACACACACTGAAAGAAGGAGGAAACTGGCTATACAGTTCTGTTCAAGGAGTCAATCTGGACCAAAACCTGTCCATGTCTTACTTTTGTGGAGCCATGAAGAGCCTATGATCGATAGAAACCTATATAATTGTCAGCCTCACCTATTTTACAGATAATGAACATTATTGAAACCCAAGGAGGTGAAAGGACTTTCCCAATGTCACACACTAATGAGAAGCAGTCTCAACTGGAATCCAGGTCTCTTGACCAAAGGCCAATGTTCTTCCACTACATCAGTTGTCTCTTTAGCTTTTCTCCATTATCGTCTCAATTTCCATGAGATTATGACCCTTTCAAAAAGCAAGCTCAATACTGGTGTTTCTGTAAAGCCCAGAAGCCAGGGCCCTCCCTCTTCTTAGTCGCTGCTCTGATCAGCTTATGACCTCCTCCAAAGAACAGGAAGTAGCTTCTTTTTTAGCTCTGAAAGCACATTCTGGGGGTGGGAAAGGGGGACTTGGGGAAGAGAGTTCCTGTACATGATGGTCAAGAGCAATCAGCAGACACATTGCTTTTGCTTGAAGAGGAAGATACACGGTCAGATATGTAAGGGGCAAATACAGGCTGTCCTTGAGTCCTAACCAGAACATGTCCTCAGCCAGAGTTTTCCCAAGCCTCTGGGTTGGAGAAGAGGAGGATTCTCCCCAGATTCTATACTCAAGGGGCTGGATGCCAGAGTGGGGGTTAGGGTAGGAGCACCAAGGGGGGAAATTTTCAGGAACTTTCTACAATATCCAGTGCTTTCCCCCACCCTCTGCTAGCACCCGCAACTTCCCCTGCCAAGGGAGGAAGGAAGAACACATTATTCTGTTTAATAATTTATACAAATGGAAAAGTTTACTGTGTGAAATAATGGGGACTTAAGAAGGCAACAGATAAATAAAAATTCCTGAGTTCTCTCTTAAAGGATGAAAGTGTGGGTATGACACCTCTTGATGACCTCACTGGGAAATATAACAATCTGATTGTCTAATAGATGGGTTCAAATCAAGCAAGCAACCTTTTCCTTCCATATGGTCAGCCAAGTTTTGGTCTTCTATATGGTCTCCTTCTACTGGTGGGATCACATCCAATCTTAGCATTAATAGCTTGGGACAGACCTAGATTCACGGACACTTGTCTATGTCAGTGGTTCTCAAACCTCGTAGTTCATCAGAGTCATCTGGGGAGCTCATTACCGGGAACGAACACAGAGATTGATTAGGTAGATCTGGGCTAGGGCTCCAAAATCTTCATTTACAACAAGCAGGCCTGGTTTAAGAACTAATGATTTTGCCCTGGCTGGTTAGGCTCAGAGGTTAGAGCGTTGGCCTGCGGTCCAGAGAGACCTAGGTTCAGTTCCTGCTACGAGCACACACCTCGGTTTCAGTTTGTCCCCGGCCCTGGTTGGGTAGTGCGGGTGGCAACCACTCGAAGTGCCCCTTTCACATCGATGTTTCTCTCTCTCTCTCCCTCTTTCACTCTATCTGAACAACAACAAAAAAGAACTAATGATTTTATTCAACCCCATCCATTCAGCTATCAAAATTTTACATATGATAGTGGTTTTACAGCAAAGAAAACCAAGATTTCAAAAAGTAGGTTAGTGGCAGTCTCTTGCCTCCTGGTGTGATGTCTTTGCCAATGCCTTCACACATAGCTTCTCTTCCCCAGATCACCAGTCCTCGGAGAACCTCTGAGGATCAGTGAGGCCCTTTCCTCCAATCCACAGAGGAGTCAGAGCTGTTGGGAGCTCTGATTGAGAATCCACCTGGTTCATTGGTGGAAATGGCTGGTAAGGAATATAGGTAAAGGTAGTTTTAAGGGTAGTCTCAGAACGCCGTGTTCTATATCCTGATGGATTAAAAGGGGAAGGTACAGTTGATGGCTTCTTAGGCACACTAACTGGTTATTCAGGCAGAAAGAGTAGTCAGTTCATGGAAGCAGCCTGCAGTGCTAGAGAAGCCAGAGGGAGTGAGGGGGAGAGTAGCAGAAGATGAAGTCTTGGAGGTAACAGGAGGCCAGACCATCTGGGGCCCTCCAGGCCACATGAAGATCTTTGGCTTTTACTCTGAGCCACTGCAGGGTTTGGAGCTGGAGCGTGGCATAAGCTGACATGTTTTTTGCAGGGTGCTCTGCTGCAGTGATGGGACAGGCTTCACGGGGCAGGGCACACACCAGAAATTCAGTTAGGACGATTTGCAGTAACCCGAGGGACAGAAGATGGTGGCTTAGACCAAGGTGGTAGAAATGCAGTGGTGAGAAGTGGGTGGATCCTCTACTTTCAAAAGTAAAGCTAACAGATTTTTCTGATAAATTGGATGTGAGATGTGAGATAAAAAGAGGAGTCAAGGATGCCGAGTATTTTGGCTCCAGCAATGAGCAGGTTGGAGTTATCATCAACTGAGATAGAGAAGGCTGTGGGTGGAGAAGGTTTGGGGGAGAGACATCAAGAGTTCCGTTTTGGACATGCTGACTCATTGGCACTCACATGGTATTTAAATAAAGTCTCACCACTGGATGAGGTCATCAAGAGAGTGAGTATAGACAGAAAAATAGGAGGGTTGCATCAAGAGCTTAGAGAGAAGATGACGAATCAACAAAATTTTGAGCCTGAGAAAGAGTAACCAGTGGGGTAGGAGGAAAACCAGGAATGTGCGGAGTCCTAGAAGCCACATATTTTCAGAAGGAGGGAGTGATCAGTTGGGTCAAATGCCACTGACAGGTGAAGTGAGATCTAGGTTGAAAACGGACTATTGGATGTAGTTATTGGAGGACACTGGTAACCTTGACAGGAACAGCATTTGACTCCTGACCTCATGGAGTACCACAACTTGACAACTGACTGTCATTAAGGGCTCCCTTATTGTTAATTTTCTCTTCTGTAACAGTTGTAAACTTTGTAACATTAGGGAAGATGACTAAGCATATCCCCAGAACATGAATACCACCCACTGAATACCCTCCCACCAGGACACTAATCTAGAGCAATTTTCCTTATGCCTGACTTACCTTGGACACAGAATTTCAGTTCCTTAGGGTCAGTGACAACCTTTCTGCTTTCCTGGATCACAGCCCGATTCTTCTTGGTTTCTCCCCAGAGATTGGTGCCACCGTACATGCTGGGAATGTTGAGAATGGCAATGCCTTCAAGGAAGATGTTGCTCAGGTCCACCCCAACTCCGTCACACTGGGGGGTAGAGAGAAAAGGTCATCTGTTAGTATCCTCAGTGCATCCCCATTTAAGGTTTGGGGTGTGTGTGTGTGTGTGTGTGTGTGTGTGTGTGTGCTGGGGGAGGGCTTTCATGAAGGATGTGATGGGCCCTCAGCCACCAGCCTGCTTCTGTCAGAAGCTGAATCTTGGGCAAAGTTGCTCAGGCCTAAAGCTTTGGCCTCTGTAGTGAGATGGGAGCAGGAGAGGGGATCTAGTCTTGGTCAGCTCTGGGGAAGACAGCACAGAACTCCAGGGATGTTCTATAGATCTAGAAGAGCTTTAGGGATGGTTCACAAGACAACTGCAAACCTGTTCTCCAGTCCAGCCTCATTATCACCAATTCTGACCCTTCCTAACCATTGTGAAGATTTGGTAGGACATTGGGTCCAGAACCCAGCACACAGTGGAGTCTCAACAACGATGGAAACGTTTCATTTACCACCTCTTAATTTATCCCTCCTGTGAAAGTAGACGACTTTAAGATTTGGAAAGCTTTCAGAATTTGCCTGTCTTTGTATCTGTATCATAAGTGCAATTTTGGCATATGTGCTTGCTGATGTAGCACAGTCTGTTCTTCCAATCTCTACCACCCGCATTCCCCTCCAGGTACAAAAGGCCAGAAGGCTTGGATTTGCCTGTCTCATATATTGATAAAGTCAGACCATTTTGCCATAATGTTTACCAGTGCAACACAAAATATATTAGCTCTGATCCTTGTTTGTCAGGATTGTAGGTAGTTCACTTTCTTTACAGAAGAAAAAACTGGACCCAGAGAGGTGAGCTAAGGTTGCACAGCAGATAAATAACAGAGCAGGGATTCTAGGTTAGAGAATTTCACTACAAAGTCCAAGCTCTTCATCTTGCTTATTGTGAGTCAGGAAAAATCAAAAGCATGCAACCAAAACACGGTCTTCAAGGTTATCTACAAATCCAAACTTCTAGAGATTTCTCAACAGTGGAGGAATAGAGAGGTACGGCTTGTTGCCATTCACATTGACTTACCTTCTGATTTTGATGCTCTTAATCTATGCTTTCTTATCCCCATGACTTGTTTTATTAATTACAAATGGAACAGAGTGAGCTTCTCTGGTAACTAAGAACTCATTTCCTCATTGGGAAATTCTGATTACTGGAAAGTTCTCTTTATGTTGAACCAGATGCTCTTTCTTCTTGCTTCTACCCATTAGTCCAATTCTCCTTTCTGAAGCCAGATAGAATGACCCTTGTTCCTCCTCCATGGGGACAGCTCACCAGATGCAGGATGAAATCATCATCACTGTGTACACGTATTAAGCACTGCCACCTGCCAGGAATGCTTTTATGTACATCTCATTTATCACCTTCATAATAATCTTGTAAGTTAGTTACGACGACTACTCCCTTTTTACATTTGGGAAAACTGAGGCAGCTGTTAAAGAACTAGCCTAAAGTCACCCAAATTACAAAATAGAAGTACACAGATTTGATGGCAGATAGTAGGGGCCCAGGTCTTAACGACTCCTGAACTTCTCCTCCCTCTCACACCACCATTTGGTTGTGCCTCCTCTGGGTTGAGCACTGTCAACTCTCTCAACTCTCCTGTAGGCTTGGTTTTCAGACATCCCCCTGTTCTGCACACACTACAGTTTGTTACCCTCCTACTCTGTAAGGCCTCCTGCATTAAACACAACACTGAGGACAGGATCTGATGGCACAAGTGTCTATGGTACTAATACCACCTAGGCTGGGATCCTATCACTCTATCGTACCCCAGAAATGAGATCATCTGGGAAGCCTATGTAAGGGCTCAACACATGTCTCCCATGATCATTATCCCTATTGTTAAATATGGTCAAATTTGCACTAGCTCTTTTGTTAGCCACTAGATGACGACTGCATCAGTTTAGCTTGAATGGGTGGTCATCTCTGTCACCCACAGCCTGATCCCATCACCTACTTCTCAGCCAGCTCTTACCTATCCTGAACTTGTATAGATATTTAAAAAAAATAACTGAGACATAGGGCTTTGCATTTATGTCAATTAATTTCATCTGGCTTTCAGCCCAGGCCTCTTCTAGTCCGTCTAGTTTATTTTAAATCTTCATTCCATGACCTTTTGCCATAGCTCTCCTATCATTTGGGGATTAAGTCATTAATACATGTATATAAGGGGCAAAAAAGGGACCAAGTTCTCCCTTTGGTCAGTCTAACATAGCAGACATTGGGCATTAAATAGCCCCAGGGTTGTGGCTGCCCCGCGGGGCTGCATCTTCTGACTGAATTGTCACCCAGCCCAATTTTCATTACAATATGGAATCATGGAACTTTGAGATGAGAGGGACCTAAGAGAATATGCTCCATCTTTCATAAATAGGCCTCACGTGGTTAAGGAACTTGCTTGTGATCACTCAAGTTATTAATGGTGGGGTTAGACTAGTATTCTGGTCTCCAGACCTCAATCCTGTTCTTCCCACTAAAATGTAAGACATTGTGCTGAGATCAAACAGCATTTCCTAAGTGACCATTCTATAACCTCTATCAGAAAAAGAATAAGAGAGCTCATATGCTTTCTATGTTCTCTTTTGCTTCAAACATCATCTAACATTGTGGTTGGCCTTCGGCTGGCCTGAAGCCAGGTTTCCAGGTCTGAGTTGCTTCTGTGCATTCACACCGGGTGCTGCCATCCCCTGCCTCTGCATGTATGTGTACTGTCCCCTGAGAGCCTGGGCTCAACCCAGAGCTCTCTGTTGCTGTCATGGCGATTCTTTTTTAAACTCTTCCTTTTTCTTCTCAATAGAATTAATGAATTGTTAGAAATTTATTTTGGAATGTATTCCATCATTTCATCCTTTATGCCCATATTTAGAGATTTAGGCTAGAGTCCCACTGGGTCAGACTTTTCTCCAAATTTTCTGAAATGAGCTTTGCTCAACTCTGTGCCCAGCACTGTCATCCTGTATCTTTTTTTTTTTTTAATTTTTTTTCTTTATTTTTTTGGGGGGGAGAGGTGTAGAAACATCGATGAGAGAGAACATAGATTGGCTGCCTCCTGCATGCCCCCCACTGGGGATTTGGCCCATAATCTGGGCGTGTGCCCTGACCGGGAATTGAACCGGAGACCTCTTGGTGCATGGGTTGATGCTCAACCACTGAGCCACACTGGCCGGGGTCTTCCTGTACCTAATCACCTCCTAGACAATCGCTCACTTTTCCCTGTTGGTTGTTGTTACTTCCGCTTCACCTCAATTTATTCATTGTTGGTCAAAATGCCCCCTCCCTTCTGAGAGGACATAGCAATAATATTAGCAGCTCAAGTTCGTGCACTGCATTGGTCCTTCACCTACATCTTCTCCTGGGATCCTCACATGAGTACAATGAGGGGAGGCATCATTACTCCCCATGACTGAGAGGGGGGGTCTCGCAGGGGTAAAGTGCTTACTCATTGCTACCCAACCTCCATTCTACAAGCTGCCAGAGTAGGATGCAAACCCCAGCAATCAGATGTCAGATCCTGCATTGGAGATGCAAGTCAGTGAAGCAAATTGAGACTTTTGTTGATGCTAGACTCATAGCAAAATTAAACTTCCAGCTGTTGTTTAAATAACTGACATTTCCCACCACTACTCTGTCTTGTAGAGGACTTAGAGCAGTCATGGCACATCAGTGTTGGATATATATATTATATATCTTGCCTCTGTGCCAGCTTTGCAAAAAAAAAAAAAAAAAAAAAAGTGTACCATTAACAAAGCAGTGTTCTTGGGACATGATATTCCAAAAAGTCACTTTTCTTCCCTGTTGCACTTTTAAGTGTACCCTGCTCCTTCCACCTCCAGTCATAACAAGCTAGGAGTGTTGCTTTAATTTGGTTAAGTTAACCTCTCTCTGGAAAAGCAAACAGGCCTCACTCTGCTTTCTGATAAATTGTCCCTTACCCCATTATCTCATTGAGAATAGAAAAGGTGGAGGAGCCTGGGGACTGCTGGATAGTAGATGCCCCCACCCTCGAAATGTACCTATTTGAAAACTGAGAGGCAATGCAGTGTCTTGGAAAGAGGTTGCCTGGGCTTGGAGACTTAGAGATATGAGTTTAAATCTTAGCTCCTCGCTTGCCAGCTGCGTGATCTTGTATTGGTTCCTTAACCTCTTTGGGCTTTAATTTGTCTTTTGTAAAATGGAGGAGGGGTGGGGGAATAAACATCTACCTCAAGGGGTTGATTGGTCTCCGGAAGGCAGTAACAGTCCATAATCGTTTGCATTATTATTACAGTTAGTAATATTTCCTGTGCCATGAGGCATATTTCGGTCTGAAATCATTCTTCCACTACCTGAGACCTTGCTGGAAGCATTCTAATGGCCCCATGGCGGGACCCATACTAGTCAGAGCCTTGACACCCCATATCTGTATGGCCATTCTTCGGGGTTCTTGAACTAGCCATCACACACTGATTTCCTTCAGAACCCCAGGCCCGCTTAGGTTTCAGGAAACGTGGAAAGCTGCCGCGCCGGATTTGGGAAAGTGGAGGCAACAGTCGTACACTGTCGGCTTAAATGGAACAGGCCCTAGGCCACTCCCGGGAGGGTTTCTGAGCTAAACCCTCCAACAATTCCATGACGTCATAGGTCCCCCTCCCGCTGCTCCGACTCAGGGGGCTACTGGGGAGAGCGCAAGGAGGGCGGAGATCCCCGGTCACCGTTAGCCATCCCCTAATTTGGGACGGAGCTAGCTGGCTCCCCTAGAAGTCCAGGCTGCGCTGCGGCGGAACTCAGGTATTTATAGACCACTTTTGGGCTGAAACAGAAAGCTCTTGTCCCAGGCAGCGAGCGCGCACATGCCCGCAACCATGCTTCCAGTGTGCGTGGGAGGCGAGGTGCAGGACCGCGGGCGCCCGCGTCCCTGGCGCGGCTGCCGGCGCGGAGTGGGGTGGGGCGCTTCGAGGCCAGCCCCGCTCCTGCCCCCTTGGAAGCGGTTCAGGAATCTGCCCGAGCCCAGGCCGGGA